TAATCGCCAGCTAGTGAAACCGTGTAGCACAAAATATTAATGCGTCCTATAAACGTCCTATAAATGTGCTTAATATTTCAGTGAATCGTAATGTGTATCTGTCAGCAGTGTGAAATGAATCCTGAGAGAGGAGGACATTTCATTACATTGGTAAAAGAAAGTTTAGAGAACCCAAACTGGTTTATTTCAGAACAGCCAGTTTTACTTCCATAATCAGTGTATTTCTGAGTAAAGTGGTATTCAGTCAGAGAAGTGGGTTGGGACTTATATTTTAAAATATACAAAAATATATTGCTGATATACATTTTCAAATATATTTATATAAATGTATTTTTCATAAGTTTTAGTTATTTATATTTCATCATATTATTTAAATATATTTTATAGATTATATATATATATATATATTTTATTTAGTTATTTTATGATAAATATACTGTATATACTGTGAAAATATATTTACACAAATGTATTTTCAATAAGTTTGTTATTTCCTTTTCATCATTTTATTTTTATATTTATATTGTCTATATGTGGCATTTACAAAAAATGTATTTTATAACTGGAAATCCATTTTCCTGCCCACTGAAATACAATTGATCATTTTTTGGCGTATATTTTAGGGCCATTCTTTGGTATATTATGAAACTAAATACATATATATTGTTTATATATTTAGAATTTACAAAAAAATATGATATTTTTTATGATTAGAAATATATGTTCTTGTCCTTGAAGTACATTTTGTAATATATTTTAGCATTAAATAAATATATTTTCATATTTGAAAAACATATTTTAACTAAGCTGTGCTGTTTACAACATATATATATAGCATATATTTGAAAGATATTGTGGCAAAAATGTCATATGGGTTATTTTATCCATCATTGATCGGATTGTTCGTGAGACGTACCACCAATGACGTAAGACTAGGAAACATGTGATGCACAAGTTTGATTTCTTGCTGAGTATGAGACTAACTAACACGAAACACCAGGGGAGTGAACAGATGAAGTCATGAATAAGGAACCAAACCGCACAAAACATCTCTAAAACACAACCTCACCCAAACAAACCCAGAGCTGCTACAACGCTACTGTATCCGTGTGCCGCTTGAGTGCAGACGTTCACACCGCGAGTGTTGTGCACACACACACACACACACACACACACACACACACACACACACACACACACACACACACACACACACACACACACACACACACACACAGGGTCTCAATTTAAGTTTTCTTCACACCCTTAGCTAACACCTCCTCTCCTCCAGCACCTCACATATTCTCTCTCTGTCTCACATCTCTCTTCTCTCACTCCATCCATACCACCAGTCCTCGTTCTTCTCTCGCTCTCAACACGCCCTCCGTTTTTCTCCGTCAGTAATTGGATTCTATTTTCAGGCCGCTATATGTGTCTGTCTCTTGTGTTGTGTCTCACATCCTCTTTTCCCTGTCTCTCTCTTTCTTGCCTTCATCTTGTTCTCCACTACGGCTTGTTTTGCTCCCTGGTGTTCGTCCTGCAACTACCTGATGCCCTTTACCATTGAGCCGGTGCCAGTTCAGCCTTATGCCAGCTCAACATGAAATCAAATTTGACCCGCTTTACATTATTAATACATGCTCCTGGTCCTACAGTGCAGGATGAAAGAAAAAAAAATAGTAATATAAGATAATGAATAAGAAGATAATGTCATTGTTTTAGGCTACCTTCGTAGTTAATGCAGTAATTTAATGCCGGTGAATGTGATAAAGGTTACAGCAATAATAAATTAGGATTGATTTGAAAAAGAAGTGGAACCAATGGGATGCTCTAAATGGTGAACTTGACCTTCATTCTTCACATCTAGGTCAAAATGACTCGATAATGGGAGTATGCTGCCTTCAAGCCATGTGATTTTATTTCTTTTGCTTTTTGAAATCTGACTAACCATTTCAAATGGCAGGATTCTTTAAACTTTGACTTAGTGTTGGATTTGAACATGCTAGTTCAGGTTTAGGTTTGACATGTTTCTATAATTTCCATCTTGTTGTTTTCTACATTTTAAAACAAAAGCATTAACTGTAAACAGTTTTGTCCATGTTACCGCATGTGTCCCACCCACCCTGCCACACCTGCAATGTGTTCAGCGCTTGACGTTAACACCCACCAACCAATTGAATTTTATATATTATGTATACATTTTTCAAACGTAGTCTTTTAAAAAGGCATCTGAAATAATAAACTAAGTGCAATGTATTGTTGTCAAAAAAAAAGACACACATTGATACTGAAATATCTGAGACACTTCCAATATTAATTTTCTTTAGAATAGATACACGATACCAGCTGCTCTTTCTCTCTCTCTCTCTCTCTCTCTCTCTCTCTCTCTCTCTCTCTCTCTCTCTCTCTCTCTCTCTCTCTCTCTCTCTCTCTCTCTCTCTCTCTCTCTCTCTCTCTCTCTCTCTCTCTCTCATCTCAGCAAGTGACACACAAACCCGCCTCTCCTCACTCACTCGTTTCATTTGCTCCGGATGAATATTGTTGCTGTTAAAGGGTGTGAATTTCAGCGTGGGATTGTTCATAATTTGACTCATTCCCGTAGATTTTGTGATCACACCCAAAGTGCGGCACACAAAGCCACATCTCAGTATAAATCGAGTTCTCGTTCACTGCTTATTGCGCTTCAACAGTCAAATACACACAAAATAATGTCAAAATGCCGGTCTTGGCGAGTATTCATGTAAACACAGTCATGTTTTAAGTGAACATAAACAGTTGAGAAAGAAAACGCATGCGTATCAATATAATGGATCCGTGTGTCATGTCTTAAACTAATAAACCTGCTGCCAAATTATGAGATAATATAAAAAATATCTATATAGCAGTTTTCCCCCCATGGTGCCGATGTCAAAATTGTGGCCAGTGTAAATGCTGAGTGGCTTGTCACCTTAACGAATGGCAATACGATTATCTTTACCAGTCAGAGGTACTACTACCATTGATTTTCGTTTTGATTCTACCTTTCAAGTTGGTGGCATGTAAAATCTTGGCAGAAACAAATGATTGTTTACAATAAGCTGTACTTTAGTTTATTCCTTTGTGTCCTGTTAAAGCATAATAGCTGTAAACTTTGCTAGAATATGCTCGTTTAGTCAGTTTATACGGTCACAGGTTTGTGCATCAATTTCACACCTAATGTGCATCTTTGGCTCTTCATTATGATGCAGAACTATTAAAAAGGTCTCCTGTGGTTGCTGGGAAATGAAAAATTCTCGAATGTGTCTCTTTTTGCAACTAAAATCACTTGCGTGTCACATTGTATTTGAAGGCAGCATCTCCTCATTACATATCCTGACAGAAAAATATATCATATTACAGAAGTTAAATGCGATGTGAATGTCTTTTCATGCTGACTTCAGTATCAAGATGGTTTTCCTCAGAGCAAGTTTGTGTTATGTCCCATAAACTCCAAATCACTCTGAAACGTTATTTTGTATTAATTTTTTCAAATGTTCACTGACAAAATTGTATCTTTAGGGGCACAGCAGCTCGACACTCGTTACTTATCTACCCTTAAAAGATGCATATTAGTATCTTAGAATAGTAATATGTACTCTTAAGGTATTAGTATGAACCTTTTAGGGCTCGATAAGATTGAAAGATGTCCCTTTAAGGCAGGGGTGTGGAGAAGAGCTTACCTCGAACCATCCCCAATACACTTACCTGAAAGTTTCTAGTATGCCTAATATGCTTTAATAAGTTGGTTCAGGCGTGTTTAATTAGGTCTGGAGCTGAACACTGCAGGACAATGGCCCTCCAGGGGAAGTTTCGAACACCCCTGCTTTAAGGGTACTGACTACCGTTGTACCCTAAAGGTAAAAGTCTGCAGGGATTAGACAAGCTGAAATGGGGAAGAATAGCCAGAAAATGCAGGAATCATGAGTGCAACTCAGGTGAAACTCACTGTGAAGTTTCTGAGGTGAATTTGACACAGTTTTTAGATTAAAGTGAAACAGGGCTAATGATAGAAAGAGAGGGATGTAATTGCTGAGGGAGGGGAGGAGAGCACAAAAGAATGACGGATGATCAAGCGTAGTTGGTTGGCTGTTGGAGAAACTCGGGGGGCCGTGGTGTTACTTAAAACGAGTGTCGCAAGAAGCGATGGGCAAAGTTAAGAGAAGAAAGGTGTGGAGAGGCATGTGCGAGGAGTAGACCGACATGGGAGGCTCTCAACAGACCAAAAAACAGTCTCCCGCAAGAACCGGTGGCAGCCGACTGACGCCACACACGCCGCGACACACACATGCGCATGGCCGTTCAGGGCAGACCCGACACACACCGCGATCCAGTCAGGCACGCACAGGAGCGGCACGCAAACAGGCCGTGCAGACGCACACACACACACACTCTCGCCGCTCGTCGTTCGGTCAAGGAAGTCTCGCTCGGGCCGGAAACGGACACACAGACCAGGGCGGCTGCGGTCTCTTCTGCTACCTGTGTTACAGTGGCTACTGCCTCTGTCTGATGCTTCTCTCCTTCTTTCTGCTTCTCCTCCTATCCCCACCTTCATCTCGCACTCCTCCTCCTCCTCCTCCTCCTTCTTCTTCCTCTCCTCTACCCCCTTCTCCATCTGACGACACTATCTTTTCATTGTCCTTTTCCTTTCTGGCCATTCCCTTCTGCCCTAATCCTTCCCTAAACCTCTCGTCCTCTTCCATGTCTCCATTCTCACCTCTTCAATCCCTAACCAACTCCCTGACTCTCCTTCACCCGGATTCTGAACTCATTCCCTTCAACTTGTCGTCTCCTCTTTCTCCATGCCCCTCTGCGTCCTCTGATCCTCATCCGACTTCTTACAAATCCTCTTCGGATTCTTCTCCTCAACCCCGCCCTTTTGTTCTTGTCCCGCCTTCTCTCCTCCTCCTTCCTCGCCCCTCGCTCTGTCGCTCCCGCTCTTCCTCGTCTCGCTCCTTGCCCTCCCTCCTGCTCTGCCCGCACAGTTTGTCCGACCACACCCTCTCCTCGACCGAGACCTTGGACCAAATCCCATCGATGGCCTCGATACCTCGGCCTCGCACCTTGTTGCGTCAGCAGAGCCTCCAGCAACCCTTGATCCAGGCTCCGGCCCCGAATTTGGTCAACAGGCCTCCCAACTCCCAGAGTTTGGGTCAGCTGCACACCCAGCCGGGTTTAGGAGGGGGCGGGGGCGGTGGCGCGGGGCCTGGAGGAGGGACCGGCTCGAGGAACTCCAGGGGCGGCCCGGCTGGAGCATCCCGCCATAAGCCAGGAGGTGCCTCTCATGGGAACCCTGGCAGCGTGGATCACATGATGGGTCAGATAACGAAACGAGGCCTGGACGTTAAATCCTTCCTGTAAGTCACTTCTTGTGTGGGTCTGTCCTGTGCATGCCTTTTTGTCCTGTGTTTGCATGTATCAGTCTTGTCTAAGTAATTTCACTTTTTTAAGTAAGGTTCACCCAAAAATGAAAATCATTCGCTCACCCTCATGTCGTTCCAAACCCATATGACTTTCTTTCTTCAGTAAAGACCTCGTGCGCCAGAGAAACAAGTGCGCAGCCATCTTTACAATATTGTCTTTGAACTTCCGTTTTTGCAGTCGCTCTATATATTTCGATACGAGTAATTCGCTGGTGAAGTGGATTTATTTATTGTAGAGTTAACGAAAGTTATCACGAGCATTGTAATTTTTAAAGCAGATGTCTTGGGAAGATTTTAAAACGGGCAGGTAATTTATAAGATCGCTGTGGAAATACAAACCGGAAGACAAAAGACAACAAGCGCAGCGCTGAAAAGGGACGGGAAGCTCTATAACAGAAAAAGAGAATTTTAGCAGAATGTTCACGCTGCTCTTTTCCAGAAAATTCAACACATACGGCGACTACAGACTGTAAAGCAACAAAAATGACAAACGGGATCTAGTTTTCTTTTTCACTGTTTAGCAAGTCTTTTGAAACTAAGTCATACAAGGTTTCATATCAGTACTTAACATCAATACAAGAATCTGTTTCTTGTATAAAGTCATCATGCGAGTTAGAGTATAGGTAGAATCTAATGGACTTCTTTTAAGCTCAAAAGTGTCCATCATCATTCATTTTCATTGTTAGGAAAAGAGCAGCGTCATTGTCAGTCACCATTCTCAAAAACATAATTTTATATTCCATGCAAGAAACTAAGTCATGCATTTTTGGGTGAACCGTGTTTTAAGTGCTACAAAGGCATTTATATTCTTCGAGAAATATCTCAGACTACACCAGGTCAGTTCCCTTTCTCTGAGATGCTTTATTTATACTTGACCTGCTTTAGTGTGTGGTAATAATATGTCTCTTAAAACAGTGTAAATGTCCCAGAGTTCAACTGAAAATGATCTGCGTGCCTCTTCTTGTCTGTTCTCGTCTCTGTCTCTCTGTCTCTCTCTCTCTCTTCACCTGTCTGTCTCCAGACCCTGTCAGACAGTTGTTCATTCTGTCACACTATATTTCACCCCCGCTGCAGGATATTACCCCCCTCCCTCAGCGTTCTGCACTGATCTGCGGTTTTGTGACGTTCTGTTTTATATGGCTGAACATTGTGTGCGTTCTGCCTCAGCTGGTTTAAACATGTCACATTTTAGGACCTCAGGGGACCGCTGGAGATATGGTACCAGGACTAATATTATGTATATATGTGTTCGGACATGTGTTTGCCCGTGTGTGAGTGTGTTCATGAATGTTTAATGGTCTTTCTTTTGTGTTTAAAGGGACAGTTTACCCCATAATGAAAATTCTGTCACTATTTATTTACCCTCAATCCAGACTGATCTCATGAAATGGCGTACACTGTAAAAAATGACCGTGAAATTTACAGAAAAACTATGTAAAATCCCTACAGAAAAGTATTGTAAACCCAAAAACATATTTTTTTTGTTTAAATCACAGTGAAATTTTGTAAACCGTTAAACATAATATTTTGTTATATTTACAATAACAATATGTGATTATAATCAAAATTATTTGTTAAAATTACAAATATTGATACCAAAAACAGAGAAATACTGTAATACTCACAACAAAACAATTTTGTTAATTTGACATGCAAATATTGTAAAACTAAAGTTTTAGTCTGATGTTTTTAAAAATACAAATAGTATTTTTTACTATTTGTATGTCTATAAAGTATGTCACTTTACAAGTTTATGCTGTAGGCTATTTTTAGCATGATTGATGAAATGATGCAAATTGAGGTAATAACATTTTTTTCACACAAAAAATAAATGTGAACCTAAGAGGTTACCTATTTATATATAAAAAATGTCTACAATTATAATAATATTGTTTTTATAATTTAGACTATAATTTTGTAGCATATTGTAGCCTTGTGTGTGTGTGTAATAAATAAAAATAAAAAGTAATACTTCTGTTCACTGTTCAGTAATCCCTGTATGCCTTATGTTTATTTTAGTCTTTAAATCTTAATGTAGGCTAATACTTAGCCTACTGGTTTTCTACATAGGCCTATTGATAAAATAATAGTAATAATTTGAGCATTGTGTCATTATCACAGGCTAAAAAAAATGAACGGTGCCTTCGCTAACATCGCTTTATGATTTATTTGTAGCATTCTGTATTTATAGCCTATGTGTATAAAGAATTACAATTATTGAGGCCTGTGCAAAGTAACACTTCTGTTCAGTCGCAACCATAATCATTGTATGCTTTGTTTCTTTTAGTCTTTCAATTTTAATGTAATACTTAGCTTAATGGTTTTCTATTTATTTATTTATTTATTAAATAAAATATTTTTTTTTTACCATTTTTATCATTATCACAGGCTAAAACCTAACAGTGCCTCTATTATTGTGCACTGATTTTGAATTGTGCAGCTCGTCTCTGATTGGATAATCGCGGGCGGAGAGCGGGAGGAGTGACGTCAATAACGAGCGAGCCAAAGCTGCAGTGCATTTGCTAGAGAAAAAACAGAGGCGCAGCAGAAATATTCGGACCATTAGTTTCTTTTAGTCTTTAAATTTTACGTTTTCTTTTTTTTTTTTAAATAAAATAAATAAATTGACCATTGTATCATTATCACAGGCTAAACAACCTAACAGTGTCTTTGTTCTCTCTAATTGTGCTCTGAGTCCACCTAATTTTGAATTTCATAGCGCATATGAAGCTCGTCTCTGATTGGATAATCGTGGGAGGAGAGCGGGAGAAGCACGAGTGACATCAATAACGAGCCGCGAGCCAGAGCTGCATTTGCAGAAATCTTCGGACCACTTTATCAGTTTAAAAGCTTTTAGGACAAATCTACGATTTCAACAAGTTTTTTGGAGGATCTGCTGCTGTTCATCCAGAAAATTTAACGTTTGCACGGTAAGCTTCACATTAAGTCTACTTTTTTTCGACACTAAGTGAAAATGTGTGCTGAATGCCCATGGTGTAACGTTAACGTTAGGCTAACGTTAAGTTACGTTAAAAGTTAAGCTAGCACTAGTTGATATTTAAGATAGCTAGCTAGATCAATGCGTGATAACTCAGCTGAATAGCACAGGCAAACACTTGAAATCCTAAAAATGATCACCTGCGTCTTTTGTAAAAAGAATTTGGATACCTTAAGAGGCTATGTACTACATTGCAGAGTGCATAGGAATGAGCCCCGTTGTCTTTTCAAATGTGTTGGCGCCAACTGTAGTCAAACATTTACCACTTACTCAGCTTTCAAGGGCCATTATTATCGTGTACACAATGCACCTGCACCGCAAGCTGCTCCTATAGCTGTTGTTGCGGATTTAAAATGCGCCATTTCATTATGTTCCCGCCATTTTCACACGGTGAAAGAACTAGTGTCTCACTTAAATGATCATATTGGAGAGGGCAGGTCTGTGTCATGTCCAGTAAGTGGTTGCACGATCGTGTTTACAAAAAAGTCATCATTTACTTCTCACATGTGTAGGAAGCATAAAACATGCTCCCCAGATGATATTGATAACATGTACAGGGAAACTCGCCCTCAGCCCCCATTTGTCATTGCCAGTACAGATGATTCAGAAAAGACACATGAAGCCATGCCAACAGCTAGTGCAGCCATTGATATGCCAGAGAATGATAGTCATTCTTATCTCAGAAACATTTGTCTCTTTTACCTTAAACTGCAAGGACAGCTGCTGATTCCTGCCTCTACTATACAGACTATTGTTGAGGAAATGCAAAATGTGCATGAGTTAGGTCAAGCCTTTACAATAACTAAAGTAAGTTCTTTTTTAAAAAATGAAATGAGCCTATCAGATGAAACGGTCACTAAAATCTGTGACTGCATTAAAGAGTCAGATTTGTTCTCTGCCTGTCATCAGAGACAATTAAGAACAACATACTCCAGAAATCAGACATTCACAAAAATGTTTAAATACACGGAACCCCAAAAAGTGACATTGGGAATGGATGAAAACATGACACAAAAATGTGCTTACTACATACCAGTGAAAGAAACTCTAAAGAGCTTTTTACAATCAGATTTAGGGAGGAATACACAGTCACAACTGCTTGGAGATCCTGATGCAGAGGTTTTTACGGATTTATATGATGGACAAAATTTCAAATGTCACCAGTTCTTTAATGAAAACCCTGAAAGCCTCAAACTGATTTTGTACCAAGATTCGTTTGAAATTGTGAATCCCCTGGGTTCTGCTAAAAAGACACACAAAGTTCTTGCAGTCTATCTTTCATTAGCAAATTTACCCATTCATTTGCGTTCAAATACTGATAATATGTTTTTAGTCTTGTTGTGTGTTGAGAGTGACCTTAAGCGTTTTGGAGTAGCCAAAGTTTTCTCAGAGTTGTTGGCAGATCTGAAATCCTTGGAAACAGATGGAATAAATGTAGATGGAGAAACAGTAAAAGGGGGTCTTTACTGTATTGCTGGGGATAACTTGGGTTCTCATTGCATAGGTGGGTTTACAGAGAACTTCAGCCGCTCTCATTATTTTTGCAGGTACTGTGAAATCACAAGAAGTGAGTTTGAGGCTGATCCGAATGTCTGTGGTCCTCCACGCACCCCAGAGACGTATGACGCGGCTGTTGCTGATCTCCAGGCTGAAAACATTCAAAGCGTCAGAGGAATAAAGGTAAACTCTATCTTTAATACCCTTGAGTCTTTTCACGTATCCCAGCCTGGTCTCCCACCTTGTTTAGGTCATGAGCTCTTTGAAGGAGTCTTGTCATATGATCTAGCACTGTACCTGAAGGACATTATAAAAAAGAAAAAATGGTTCACATACTCACTCTTAAACAGGCGCATCAAACAGTTTAAGTACAAGGGTTCTGAATCACTCACAAAGCCATGTGCTGTCAACCCTGACGGAGCCAAGTTATCAGGGCAAG